TTTACTATGCAGTCCCATGAAACATTTACTATGCAGTCCCATGAAACATTTACTATGCAGTTGTATTTAGAAGAACATTTCTTTTTCATGCCAACCTTCAGAGGGAGAGGGAGAAATAGAGGAAAAAGAAAAAGCAATTTAATGGCAACAGTGGCACAGATGGGAGAGTGGGTAATCCCATGATCTGAAGGTTGGGGGTTTGAATCCTGGCTCCTGCAGGTGCAGACTGTTGTTGTGTGACAAGACACTTGCTAAATGTAAATAATTAAATTTCTACATTTTGGGCTTTTATTTATGTTGTCTAGCAGCTATGGATTTTAATAATTTTAGTAATAATAATTTAATAATAATTTAATAATAGATGAACATATAGGTGAACATATATGTGCATATATGTACATATAATAGAGGAAAACGGCCAATTTTATATATGTCACATATATTAAAAACCTATATCAAAACCTATATTAAAACATATATGTTTATATAGGTTATTTCCATGTGGGCAAGAAAACTAGCAAGAATAAAATCCTTTTCACAGTTTATTGGTAGATGAAATGAAAAATGAAAAACTGTTACAATATAAACAGTGCCTATGCAGAGTTGACAGAAATAAAACAATTCACTATTATTAATGCTCTGGGGACGAGGGCATTGTCGACTGTGTATCTTTCTCATGTATTTCAGTTTATATCTTGCTGAAATCATTATGTAGAGTCATGAAAAAAACATTGACTAAATCTATAATATGTCTTCTTTTCAAAACTTCCATTGTCGTAAGTATTAAAGTTTTTAAAATCAGGTTAAATCGGTAAAAAAAGCAAAACACATCACTTTTCTTTGTTTTACCTGCATTGGGGGTGTATATTACCGCTCTCAGCTGAAGATCACTATTCACGCTCTAAATAGGCTGGGTTTGAACTGGCAACCTTATAATTACAGGGATACAGGCTTAACCCACTGAGCCATGAACACAGGTATGAGAGTCATTGCTGAAAGTGGCAACACTGGCACAAAGCTTCAGCGGCAGAGACATATCCGTGTGCCATTTTGTAGCCAATCATTGTAACACTACCCAGACATGTGCTCTTGTTTATTTCAATCACAATGGGTGTATTCACATATTTCTTTACCCAATACTAACTGTCGGATTATCATGTTATTGCGATTTGCAAGTGGCCGGGTGAGCGATCAGAGTTGCTTCGAGACGCAGACGCTTATTAAGTCAGTCACTCTTGTTATTTTTATTCGTATCACGAAGCTGTAAAAATATATTTAGTTTCTACCTACATATTTTTGAAAAGTAGACCGTCCAAGGTTTCTGAGGGTGTTTTTAAAATGTATGAAATTTCTGTCATATCCCGTCGGCAGGATAGCCGACTCCAGAGGGTTAACTTGGAAAAGGACAGTTGCTCCTGAGCTTTGCTTGGTCGTCAGTCGGAGCCAGGAGGACATTTTCCAGTAGCCTGCTTTGAGAGGGTTTTTTGTGGTTTTTCGGCCTCCCTAGAGCATTATTTTAGTTAAACGTGGTTCAGCAGGAAGTTAGTCTCGGGTAGGTAATTGTTAATTTGGTTATTTTAAAAGTTTAATTTCTAAGGCTGTTATCTCTGACCCTATCGGATACTTTAAAAAGTTCCGTTTTTAATGCAAGTCTTTATTTAGTGTTTTATTGTACTTGGCATTTTATTATATTAACTATACATTGATTAAATAAAGTAAAAGTTAAATATGCTATATAAATATACTGGGTTTGGAGTAATGGACGGGGTCATAGTGAGTTAGGTAATTATGGGGCCAGCTCAGTGTTGTGTTTGCAAGATGTTTGCCCTTCTGGATGCTTGCGTCCAGTCGGACTTCATCTGCGAGCGATGTAAGTTAGTGGACTCACTCATGGTCAAGGTTCGTGACCTCGAGTTGTGGCTCTCATCCAACACAACAATGAGTTAAAGGAAAATATGCCTTTTCACCTGATTTGTATGTAAATACCCTCAAATTAAATCCTAAAGAGCTAATATGCCTTTTAGGGAGACTGTGTATACGTCACAAGTGGGGAGGGGGGAGAATGATGAACAGGTAGGTCGAGAGAGCTGGGTGAACGTAGGTCGTAGACGTAGAAAAGGGCGTACATAGTTCACAAAGGCGGCATCACTTGAAGTGACGGTGTCTAACCGCTTTCAGGTGCTTCCAGCTTTAGAGCCGGAAGAGACTGGGGAGGCAGGTGGGCCCTTGGGCACCAAGGAGCTGCCTACCCCCAGGAGGAGGGAGGTTGTGGTAGTAGGGGATTCAATTATTAGAGATGTAGATAGTTATGTGTGGACCTGTGATAGAGGGTTCCGTACGGTCTCTTGCCTGCCTGGTGCCCAGGTAGGGGACCTTCCAAATCGTGTGGACAGGCTTTTGGCCCCACCCGGGGTGGATCCAGTGGTTGTGGTGCATGTTGGCACCAACGATGCTGAAGGGCTGCCTGTACTTATTATTTATATTATGTATGTTTATATAAAAAGATTACTTTATCTGCTGTATTTTCATACATAGGCCCACATATCGTTGCTACTGGGCAGAATATCCAATTATTGATCGTGATGAAGTTTTTACAAAGACCTTCAACATGTGTGTTGCTTTTATATGTTATATTTTTATGCATTTTAATGAGTCAAATGACAAATTGGAAGGAAATTGCTATTGTTTTTACAATAAAAATATATTTCAACAGGTTTTAAACAGTTTTCTTTTTCAAAGGTCAAAGCTAAAGGATGTCTCCCTCGGTCCTGTCCTGCACCCATATGGCCATTAAAGGTCTCCCTGTATCCCCAGTCATTCACACCTGTCCCTCATGTAGCCTTTGTTGATTGTGATGACTACAATCACCTGTGTCTGGTTTTCTCTAGCTCATTGTGGTTATGTCTTGCACATGTCTGTAGTCTTTATTCCTAACTATATATACAGTTCATGCCCCTCCATCCTGTGCTCCCCAGTTCTGTCATTGTTTACCTGTTGCTCGTCTGAACTCCTAGTAGGTCTAAATTTAGACCTACTTACTACTGAACTCTGTCAAATAAAAGTCCCATTTGGGGTTTTACCATCTCCATGGCTGTCTTTGAGGTTTCTTTGCGCCTCTTGGTGTTTTAAGACGTGACAGATATCTTATGGCTGACCTCTGAGCAATGAAATATTTCAGATAAAATTATATATATTTAAATGCTACTCCTGCATGCTATCATAAGAAATTGTTTTTGAAGAATTTCTTTATTCAGTGGTGGCCTAATGGTTAGGGAATTGTGCTTGTGATTGCAAGGTTGCTGGTTTGAATCCCCAATGAGCAAAGTACCACTGAGGTGCCCTGAGCGAAGTACTGCCCCCATGCAGTGCTCCCCAGGCACTAAATAATAGCTGCTCACTGCTATTTCACAATGTCACATATGGATTATATGCAGAGGACACATTTCGTTGCACTGTTGCGTGTCAACAATGACAATCAGTCACTTTCACTTAATGGGGCTGTTCTGTAGATGTCAGGGTCAGCACCCGTCTGTCCCAGCCTTTCATGTCTCCTCCCCATTTGGCCAGCAGGTGTTGCTGGCCATCCTGTCCTCTCTGTTGTCCAAGTCCTTAGTGTGTTTCCCCAGTTTCCCAGACTGCCGCATGGCTCTATGGGCTAAGCGTGCGGCTACTAACCCCACTGTTGTGTGTTGAAGTCCAGCCACCCATGTTTTTGCATTTAGTAGATTTGTTCCCTAGTGTTTCATTTGTATCAGTGTTTCTAGTTCCTGTATTTTGTGGTTTGCATTCTGTTTTGGTTTTTTGCTTTGTGCCCTTGGTTTTGTTTTACCTGCCTTTATTATTTTCCTAGTGTTAGATTCTGTTTCCTTGTTTCTCTGTCAGTATCTTAGTTCTATGATTTGTTAGTTAATTCAACCTGTGTCCTGTTTCCAGTGTCTGATCTGATTGGTTGATTGTTTTGAGTCTTATGTTAGTCCCCGCTATCTTTATATCTTAGTGCCTGCTTGTGTTCTGTTCACTTATTTGGTCATTGCGTCAGAAGATTAGATGTCCCTGTGTTGCCTTTTTCCTGGACCTTGTTTCCTTGTCATTTCTTGTAGTTAGTCGTTTTCCCCATTTTGCTTTTTGACCCCTCGTGGTCCTTTCCTTTGTAATTTTACCCAGTGTCATTAGTTTCCATAATAAACCCCCTTTGTGTTTCAGAACCGCTAGTGGATCATCACCTCCTTTTTCCTGCCTGCACCATGCCTCGTCCCCGTAACAATGGATGCACTAAACTAAGAATGCCCCCAAAAAAGGGACATGATGTGGCTGTCCGGGGGATGTCCTCTGGCAATCCCTTGTTTATGGATTTTGCATTACTGCTAAAATGTTAAATATTAAATATTTATAAACTGGGATTTGCATGGATTTTATGTCCATAATATGTTCTCAGAATGTCCATAACTGATCCTGAGAATTTCCTTAAAAAGTCCATAACTGGTACTCTAGATGTCCTTAACACATCCCTTAAAGTCATCTTCAGGACGTAAAAAAACTTCCCATTTGGGCGTCCTAAAGACGATCTTTGGGGATGACATCCGGACCAAAAGAGGATGTCCTAAGGACGATCTAAGGATGTATTGCTGTTTGCTGGAAATAGGCTCCACAATGCAGGGCCATCTCACTGGAGCTACAAAATCATCATTACAATTTCTGCTTTGCCTCCTGCGACTACTACCCTTAAATTGTGGACAGCCTTCATGAATAAATACTTAACAATCAATAGGAGTTTCTAATTATAAAGAAATAGATGCTAATATAAAACATTATAATGTCAGCGCCATTATTTGGCCTAAATATTATCTGCATTTTATGAAGTACGATATACTCCGAAGTGACTGGCTTCCAGCGCCACACATACCTCTGCAGAGCTGAGTAGTGTTACACACCTCGCGGCGTCAGAGGCGCACTTGAGCAGCAGCGTAGCTTCATGAAGGAGGAGCCGAAGCAGCCAGGATCGTGGATCCACATTCGTGCGGAGAGGGGCTGAGTCAGATGGCGACAAGTCCACTCGGTCACGCCTGCTTTATACAGCCGCTGGCCAGTTTTGCAGACCTTAATGTGAAGGAGATACACCGACGAACAGTTTTATGTATTTTATCATTTTTCCATGGGCGCCGTTGGGTTAGCAGAATTTCTAAACTGCACACGATAAGGAAACCCAAACTGGACTACATGGAAAAGAAATCTGGATAATACTTATAGCAAAAATGTTCGAGTATATTAACGTTTTAAAATCTTTAGTGGAGTAGAAGAAACGTCTGAAAAAAGATAGTTCAAACTACATGTTATCTGGGTACTTAATTGCCAAGAGCTATGGAGAAGATATACGCACTGTAAACGTTAAACATATTCTGCATTTTGAGATGAATCGTCTTTTAAAAACTTAACATTTTTGGATTATTTATTGACCTTCCTGTTCGACACACCGGGTACGTATTTCTTGCTTATGTATAGTACTGTACCTGTACACCACGATCTACATATTTAAGACATCTACGAAGCCGTAGCTTATTAAATATAGCAATTAAAAGCTTTTGACAAGTTTCTGACAACACTATACCGGAAGTTCCTTATTCAGGTGTCTTTATTGCACAAATATTTTTAGGTTCCGGAAAGCCACAATACGAATTATACAAAACTAACTTCACCTTTTTCTACCTAAATAACATAATGTTTACGCTGATATATATGCTAACTTAAACTGTCCCATGAGTTAATCATTTGGTTTTACATGGTTTATACTGGACGTTTTGAAAGCATTTAAGAATGGGCAGATTACTTCTAAATAGCGCACACCTGGCATTTATCAAATGTTTTGCTGCACAAAATTGTAGATGTGATAAGTTACATGATATAAATAGTTCGCGTGTTTGTATGTGTCAGCCATGGATGTGAAAGTGTTTCATAACTGTGATAAATGCCGAGTTAAAACACTTCATTGATGCAACGTGTCGACATATTCTTTTTATGTTTGTCTACACACACACACACACACACACACAGAAAGTCGAAAATATAATCCGGGTACGTTTTATTTATACGTTCACTGGTTCTGGCTATGCGTTTAGGCTCCATGGGGAGCTTCAGAACCATTTTAAGATGATCACTATAAGATCTTGTTGACTTAGAACAGTGGGCAGTTAAATTTTGAACTTTGCGCAACCCATTCCTGTCCTCTTATGTGCGTTCCTTTTCCTTTTAACACGATGCATCTGTAACAAATGGCAAGCGTGTGCAATATTTTTACCTGTGTTCCCAACCTTACGAGCCGTATTTTGTTTTGTTTCCTTAAAAGAAACTAAATTAAAATGCCTCTTCTTAAATGAGCAGCAATGAAAAACATTCTTACTTTTTGTAGTTTGCCAATAAGAAGCATGCTGCGATTACGTGGCTGCAATTGTATCTCTGTAGAAAGATACAAACACTGGATAGCCGATAGCTGCTTATTACGTACTATTGGTACTTTTTAATTAATTGTGGGTGTAATTAATCTGTACCGCTGTGTCGCCTATGACTCCGGTTTCCCCCCACAGTCCAAAGACATGCTGAGGCTAATTGGCGTTGCTAAATTGCCCTTAGGTGTGCATGTGTGGGTGGCTGGTGTGTGAGTGTGCCCTGCGATGGGCTGGCCCCCCATCCAGGGTTGTTCCCTGCCTCGTGCCCGTTGCTTCCGGGATAGGCTCCGGACCCCCCGCGACCCAGTAGGATAAGCGGGTTGGACAATGGATGGATGGATGGATGTGTCGCCTATGTTCTGATACAGGCATTCTTTGTAGACAGAAAATCCTGACGTGGTTAAGGTAATCAGCCCTCTAACTGCATACTCGTAGATGCCCCACCAGCATGCGGCAGAAAACAACCTTCAACTCCTTGCTGTAGGCTATGTTTCCGTTTGCCTTATGCTGCTGGGTGAAAAAGAATAATGCAGTCGAAATGTTGGGAATGTATCCTATTCAAGCACTAGGGCACTCTGTGGCCTCCAGTTACAGACAATTGTGAAGACTAATAAAATGTTGTTCTGGTGTTTGTTCAGAATTTTTACTGGAATATGAAAAGAAAATGGCAGTTTAGATAAATGGATGGAAATAATGAAAGCTGAATGAACAGCTCCCCAGAAAAGCAGCCCTTTTTTAAATTGGTGTAACGTATATAAACGGGAAAACTTTTTAAAAGTTTACTTGGATAAATAGGTGAGGCTGTTATAAAAAGGATGAGTAGGTTTTTTTCTCCTGTTTTTCCTGTCTTTAAAGACACATAACCATGTATTGTTACAGTTAGTGTTACAGCTGTTATGCGCCATTGTATTTTCAGTGCCATTAGCCAAACTGACATAACTGCTTATCATTTGGATATTAACGATAAAGTGTTTAATCCAAACAATGGTTCTTATAGGATAACCAAGTAGTTTTAGGGTAGAACTTTAAACTCAAATTCTAAAACTTGGCCTGATATAATGTATCATGTAGAGAAAGCCAGCCAATGACCAGATGCATATTCATGCTTGGATGGTTGTTTATTTCAAATCTTTTTTGCTATAGGATTACCTACATAATTAACAGGAGGTAGCTTGTATGTGCTGTACTTGGATAAAGATTGGGGAGTGGAAGGCAGTGAACAGTGGACATTAACATACTCTTTGTGTCAAGAGCACTTACTATCTTCCCGTCCATCAGTACTACATGACATTCCATTATTACTTGACTGCATAATGAATGGTTTTGTGTTGGTCACTTTTAATGTCTTCAGGGACAAGAGGTTTCATACAGCCCCTGCTGTGTTGGGGATCACGTTTTACTAGGTCGTTTTCTAAAAAGAGCATACTTTGGGTTGGTGAACTGAAATGCTTCATCTTGTTTTAATATATTGCATATTGCAGCAGATGCATTTCATTTTTTGCTGAAATATGCATTTTGCATCGTGTTACACAGACAAAACAAATGTTCTGGAGTGAGAAAAATGTTCAATAAAAAATAAACACACAAATTGCCTCTAAATATAACATTAATCATAATACAGTATATAGTAAATATATATTATTAAATTAATTAATTTAACAATATGTTTTGACAATTTATAGAGCAGTTAAGTTTCTTGAAATATGCTAGTGATATTAAACAGATGCTTAAAACTCATGTTTTTTTCCCTCCATATTTATTTATCTACATATTCATTTATCTACAACTACAAGCCTGACCAGGAAAAGTGATGTGAGGATGGATGGAAGTATGATGAATGGATGGCAGGATGGTTGGATGGGGGCTAAAAACCCAAAAATAGGTCAACTGACGCTACTGACTTAAAGTCGTATACAGGAAAAGCCACTGGTGTTGTACAAATATTAATATCAACAATGCATTCTTACTGTACTCAAAAATAATTGTATCACTACAAAATGTAATTGGCAGCACTCAAATTCTATTTAGCAAATGTAGTTTATGGACCTGTAGTGCATACAAATTGGTATTGACAAATCACTAGTGATGCATAAACAGTCAGTTTGGCATATTGAGCCTTGTACTGCACTTGTTTATCTGTCTTCTCCTTGGCTGGGGCCAAGTATCATTAGTATATTTAATCATAATTAGCACTTAAATCATACTTGCTAGCTAAGTTAGGGTATACTCACACTAGGCAGTTTGAACCGTGCCCGAGTGCGTTTGACCACCAAAGCGCGGTTCGTTTGACTAGTGTGAGTACTCCGGACCATGCCCGGGCGCGGTTCGTTTAGCCGTCCCTAGCACGCTTGGAAGAGGTGTGCCAGAGCACGGTTCAGTTGGACTCGGGCACGGTTCGCATGTAGTGTGAGCGCTAACCGTGCTGGAGTAGTATTCAAGTGCACACATAATAGTGATGTGTCCCATTGAATACAGGTGTCTTACTACAAGAATGTAACTAATATTGACCAGCAAGTGATAGTAAGTTACATGATTATTATCTATAGAACGCTACTGTCATCATTACAAAAAACATTATAAACATATTGTATTTCAAATTTCATAATACACTTTTCAATTGTATTCAATGACATTTCAGTATATTAATTCTCACCTTGTCGATGTATGAGAACTGTAGTCGGTAATCAAAGCTGCAAAGTCCTTGCTGCACTTCAGCTGGTACCTTGCAAACCTCCTCATACGAGCAGCATGATTGCATGAAAATTTTCGTGCCACAAAAGCGATAGACCTGTTTAGCAACAGGCTGTGAGAGGGCTGTGGACCACTGCGGACCAAACGACTCAAAATTACTATCAACAAAGTAACAAGAGCGATGGACTCCATTGCGTTCAGCGAGAGCGCCGCTCTTCCTGTTTATCCTGAAACCGTCGCACCATAATCATGTAAGCATGCTCCGGCACGAATGCTGAAACCCTATGTGAGTGCAGGCCAGAGGGGGAGTGGGGAGAATCGTACTCGGGCCCGGTTCACGGCAACCATGCCTAGTGTGAGTACACCCTAAATGTTGTTCATGAGACATTCATGCTTATGTTCATGAGGGAATGATTGCAAGCTTCACTTAATTCAAAAGGAGGCACGTTTCCCTCAACTGAAGCTACATTTCATTCTTAAAATAGAGCAGAAACTGCTTCCTTTGTCATTTTTTGCCTTCAGTTTATGCCAATGCTTTAATTGTCAGCTGGATTTTTCCTACAGTTAACATAGCCAATTTTCCCATATGACACAATGCATTTAATGAGCACATCCCTTAGTTTGTTTTACATAATAAATAAATAGTCTTTAACTTTAAGGTGAAAAGGTTGTCATTAATGACTGTCTTATGTGAGGAATAGTTTGGATTTAATAATTTCTCATAATAAACTGTTCTTTGGATCCTCTTAGGTTGCACTTACTGGCCATTGAATAGTTTTATTAGATTCTTACTTTGTTAATAGTTATACATGTAGTTGTGTATTTGCCGGTACGTCCTGCTCCAAAACTGCTTACACTTATTACTCTTATACCTTGCTTACACTTGTACCATTCATTGTAAGCTCAGCCTAGCACCTTATGCCTATAGTTGACTTCTTGACAGCATGAATGTTTTCAATGTGCTATTTGCCACGCTTGAACATTGCACATATATATATATATATATATATATATATATA